TACAAACTGTTCCAACAATAGCAAACAGATAGTTATTTACAATAAATTCTCAGGTACTATTTATCAATAAGCATAACAGTAAAAAGCAAATTCACTTCAACGATGCCGTTAATCAGCTACACAGTTACAAATTAGTTCTCAGCTGCGAAACAAATACCATACAACTGAACTACTACTGCGGCGGTGGCATAGTGGTTAGGAATCTCACCGACCATGCATATGGTCCAAGGTTCGATCCTCTGCCGACGCACACCTGATATCAATGGTCGGCCTGCAAAATTTGGGCTACCGATATCATATGCTGAAAATTCCATACTTGTACCAAAAATACTGTGTGGCATCAAGCTGTAATCAAAAATAAAAAGTCGGTTGTATGAAGTACCTAAGAATCAAGAGGAACATTCACAACATGGTGGGAAGAATCAAAATCTCAGTGCACAAGAATCACACACACCAGACAGTTGCCCCAAACAGTTGACGATCGGTGTGTCGTTGATTCACTGAAACAAAATCGCATCATAAAACACTTCATTATCAGTGTAACTCACAACCACAAAGAGAAGCATTACACTTAGATATTGAACAGGAACAAAGACAGAGAATAACGATCAAGTCAACAGGTGATGTGCAAATGTTAAGCCAATGATATATAGCTTAGGACAAAATAGTAAAATAATCACGAAGTTATATAATTCATTTTGGACTTTTCCGTTGATTGATTGAACCGAAGTATTCGGCCTCCTGTTGACATGTCGGGTACTTGTATAGATGCTTCGATGACATCCTATCATTTATCTTGAAGTGAATTAGTGTATGGTGACTAACGAAGGAATCCACCAGGACGAACGTTTCGCACTATTTGGGACTCATCATCTGGAGACCTAGTACTTCAGTTAAATTAATCAACCGGAAAGTACAAATTGAATTAGATTATCACTAATACCCACTGCACAAGAGGTGGTTGTTGTCACCCAAGTGGTTTAGCTGGATAACGTTTTGGTGTTTGAAATGATGGGTACTGGGTTCCATCCTTAGTGGAAGCACCATCAGTGACTAAGGAATGTAAGTGCATCCAGTTTACTGGGTTCTGATAAGGACGAAATGCGCGTTATCCTGGATTCCACTGCTAGTCACCATCCATCAGTTTAGTCCTAAAGTGTTGTAATTAGATCGTTCAGGGAGATTTCATACACAGTTATTCGCTTTCATAAAGTGAATGTCTTTTAATAAGCTTCTCTTCTATTGAATTATTGAAAGAAATGATAATTGGTAGTTTTAGAAATCTCCATTATACTAACAGAATTAGAAAACATATAAACGAGGTTAGATCTCTTTTAATAATAACAATAATAACAGCTTTATACCAAACAGTATTTGTGGTACAGCTATTACAATATATTGCATCTAATTACCTCATAAATTTTATAAGATATCTTCAAATGTCAAACATATCACCGATTATGTAGTGGTCAAATTACAATATTTATGAACAAAACTTCATCAGTTCAATGTATTAGACAACTTGAAATCTAATCTAATCTGATCAAAGAATTGATCTCTTTTGACTATGATTGTCACGCGGAAAATGTGTACTTTTATTTCACATTTTAACACATTGTTTCATATTGTCAGTCAGAAATATGTGAAGCAAGCCTATCAGATGGTTGAAATCGATTAACAGAAGGTCTTGGATTTATTGCTTTGCTTTTGCTGATACTTGTCAGTAAGACATATGTACAACCTCGGAGATTTGAATGAACCAGCGTCATTTAGGGGATTCAGTTAGGGAGGTTATCAATTAGCGAATTCGGAGAGCGATTGACACTCTGTAGAACTGTTATCAATTGATTACTATGGATGAAACAGTGTTGCTTATGTATAACGGCAAATTTGTTTGAAAAATGCCTCCTGAACGGTCGAATCACAATATCAGTTTTCTCCTGGACTGTACATTATTACATCGACATTTGTACATCACCTGTTGACTTAATCCTTAACTGTTTGCCTTTGTTCCCGTTTAATCTTTAATTTTAATGCTCCTTTTTGCGGTTGACTGCACACTAGCCAATAACTAGTGTGACGTGTCTAGTCCTATTTTTTGATGCAGACTGAACTCTATCAGTCAAGTTGGCAATATGGCCACCATTCTGGGTAGCTCGCGATTGTGTGATTCACCGATAATGAAATGTTTTATGATGAGGTTTTGATTGAGTGAATCAACGTCACTGCGGTCGTCAACTATCTGGGGCAATTGTCTGGTGCTTGATTCTTGTGCTCCAAAGTTTTGATCCCATTTTGTTGTGAATATTCCACTTCATTCTCAGGTACTTCATACAACCGATTTCGGTGAAGTAGTTCACTTGTATGGTACTTGTTTTGCAACTGAGAACTAATTTTTGATTTGTATATCTGACTGACAGCATCGTTCAAGTAAATTTGCCTTATAGATATGTTATACTTATTTTTGAATAATACTTGAGAATTTTTTGCAAATAACTATCTGTTTGCTATGGTTGGCACAGTTTGCAACTGTTAGTAATCCAAGGAATCTTTGGTCAGCTAAACAGTGAAGGAATGTATTGTTGGTTGTTTCGTTACCAGACCTTCTTGTCGCTAATTCTTCCCGGCCATTTGATCTTCAATATGAAGGCGATGAAGGCAGATGTTGATGAAATTCTCCAACTGTATGTTGGAGATGTTTTTTGTGAAGTCTGTACGAAGCTTCTGATCCATTTAGAACTGATACTAGAAGAGAAGAAGTCAGTATTGATCGCTACAATAGTCTCCCCAGTCAGACTCAAGTGCAGTGCCCACCGTTTCAAACGCCATGTATTCGGGTTCAGTGAAAATCAGTCAACGAGAACTATAATATAACAAACAAATGTTGCGTACTTAATTAACATTCTCAGTTGCATAATAATTCAACAATTTCACGCTTTCACAACAGCTTCCACTGAGTGATGTAGGATGTCCTGAAGTAACTCATATTCTGTATTCTGTCTTTAACGGTTAGTTTGATCCACATATAAAGCTTTTAGACTGCTTGGACGGGGCTCTTGAGAATTTAATAACCAGTGGATTGAGACTATTGATGATATAACTCAAAACTGTTGTCATTGGGATTAGATGGTTGGAAGTACCTAGCAGGAAGCCTTGGGCTAAGGTTTCGTGCCTGTCGTCACTCACCAGTCACCAAGGCGTATCTGCAACCTTGAAGGAACTGATGTCCCTCCTGAAATTCTAACTAGCGTCAAACAGTGCTGCACCCAGAGACGTTACCAATGAGCTCTTCGGGCTCGCAAATGACCTCCTGTAGGACTGTATTGGATACTTTTGACAGGACACTAGTTAGTAACTAGTGTAATGTGTCTGCTTCTTTGTTCAGTACAGACTGAATTCTATCAGTCAGATTCGCAATGTGGCCACCATTTCAGGTGGCCAACTGGCTGATATCAGCAATTCAAAGTTTACCGTGATAGCAAGCTATCTAGAATGCTGGCCACATTGCATATATGACTGATAGAATTCAGTCCGCTATAAACTGGATACACTAAATTAGTTATCCGAATAGTGTAGATGCATTCACTCTTTTTATTACTCTAGATCCAATAAATTTTCATGATGCTGCATGTTACTATTCTTTCTCCATCACATTTCTGTCTGCTGTAGCTCTTCTGAACTTCTTTTTATTGTCTTTTGTCTTCCTTTGTGGGTTACATGGCCAGTGACAGCCTGAAATGGTACACTTCTGTGTAGAGGTCTATTCTGAAGCTCAGTCAATCAATCAGTCAACCAGTGTGGTAGAAACTCTAATTTGTAACTTATATCTTACTCGGTTGAAGTATTTCATAATTATCTTACTGCATAATTATTCCTCTAAGAATCTTAAATCATTATTATTATCAATGTCTCCTTTAGTTCCTCGAGGAACATAGGACTTCAGCCAAACGTCTCCATTGCATTCAATTCTCCGCCAACGTTTTCATCACCTGGCTTCACATCTGTCCACATGCTTTCATCTCCTACCTTCTCATGTCCTCCTCCACTCCATGTCACCTCGCACAGATGACTAAGTCGCCACTTCCCATTCTAATTCCACTCGAGAGAGAGAGAGAGCCTGGTGTGTGTGATGTCAGTGTTGATTATCATAAATGTATTACTATTATTATTATCATCACTATTTTGGGTATATTCAGGTTTTTTCACTCTCTGATAACTAATTGTTTATTTAAGTGATGTAACTGAACCTTAGTGCATTTTATCTTAATTTTATATCCTTGTATATAAAGTATCCACCTGAGGAATAGCTCTACGGTGAATTTAATGAATTCACTAAATCCTGTTTGATAGACCACATTCGTATCGGGAAATGAATGTTTCCAAATCTTGATTTATATATATATATACAATTAGTGGATGGTGGCTAGCAGTGGAATTCAGGATGCGCACTTCGTCCTATTTGGGACTCGTCAGCTGGATGTACCTGCATTTCTCAGTGAGTGATGATGTTCCCACCGAGGCTCGAACCCATCTGCACAAGAAGCCGACATGTCAACCTGAGACCGAGCACTTCGGTCCAATCAATCGACGGGAAAATCGAAAATTCAATTCAATAATTAATATGACCCGTTGCACAAGAGGTGGCTCTCGTGGCCCAAGTGGTCTAGTGGATAACGCTTTGGCGTTTGAAACTATGGGTACTGGGTTCGAGCCTCGGTGGGAACATCATCACTCACTGAGAAATGCAGGTGCATCCAGATGACGAGTCCCAAATAGGACGAAATGCGCATCCTGGATTTCACTGCTAGCCACCATCCACTAATTGTATACTAATTAAATGCCCAGACATCATCGTCGAAGCATCTGCACAAGAAGCCGACATGTCAACCTGAGACCGAGCACTTCGGTCCAATCAATCGACGGGAAAATCGAAAATTCAATTCAATATATATATATATATTTAATAAAAATCATTTATTTTTTCCATTTCACAATTATAGATTCGTATATTACGTAATCCTGAACGAATGGGTTTAATCAAATCACGTATGAATGGTGCACGAAATGCTAGCGGTGATATTCTGGTATTTTTAGATGCACATGTTGAAACGCTTGATCATTGGTTAGAACCACTAGTTGTTCAGTTAATCAATTTACGAAAACAAAGTCGAAATCACTATCAACATCAGAATGAACAGTTCGAAGGAAGCAAAGAAGAACAAGATCAAGGAATTACTAAACCGTTATGTAAGAGTCTGTTTATTTAAACATGTGTGTATTTCAGAGGTACTGTTGCGTTCCACCCTATATATGTTTACGTAACAACAGAAGACAAGGGCCAGGCAACAGTTCGTTTATTGAGGGAATCAAGAGGTGTTTATATATTTTTATGTACATTATTATTCGTTGTTGTTAGCAGAGAAACAGCGTGCTCTGATTGGTTGTTTTCTCCATGAAAGTTATTCTATCATCTCTTTGTGACCGCTTCTTCGAAGGTCAAAACACATATCTGCAAATCATATCTGCCCACGCAAAGTCTTCTGTGATTGGTTGAAGAGTTCCCCAAGGTTAGGCTTTGTTCTTGTTTTTTTCTGATAACCAAGATTTGGGACGTAAACATTGACGTAAATTCCTGTCTACCAATTTTGGCTAGCAGACAGATCTCACCACGCATACTGTCTGAAGCGAAACTGTAGTCATTATTGCCTTTTTGGAAAGTTGCTGAGTGAGTTCAACTACAGGAATTAGTTGACTATAACTCAGAAATACCAATGAGTCATCCGTGATCCTTGAACATGTTTGTTGTTATTTCTATTGGGTTCCGAGTGAAACTATAGAGCTTCAGCAGCCCATCTTCATGTCACTCTATTCTCCACAATCATCTTTAGGTGGTCCCACAAATGACCATCAGCTTTGATGTCTTCCGCGCACGGTCTCCTTCATGTCACCCTTCGAACCAATACCAAATTCCTCGTTTTTCTTTTGAGTCCCAGTGGAGAACCTGACATGCTGTCACAGATTCTTAAAACTTCTTTTCTTATAAAACCTGAACAGCCTTTCCAGCATCAGAAATCTCATGTCCCAAGGTTTGTTTTTGCCTTCATTTAACGAAGACATATTGGTAGACTGGCTTCGTGAAGGCTTTCACCAGCCGACGTCAACTCGTCTTTCCGATCCCAATAAAGGATAAGTTTCTTCAAACATCTTTTCTGTACTCTGAAGTTTCTGTAGCGAATGGATTGATTTTTTCCGATAGGTTTGCTAGCTTCACATTCGACCTTCCATTTTTATCTGGGCTTAAAACCGATTAATAAACTACGCAAGTTCTGTTAACTCGGAATAAAGTCGTTTTAAATGCACAGTTTCATACTGAGAGGAGTAGTAAATCCTCTTAACCGATAAGTATCGATCTTTCGCTTCGTAAAATCAAAGTTTATCGGATAATAACTAGGCGTTGGTTTCCCTTTAACGTCTTGATGAAGTATTCAGAAGACGAGTATTGGGATACTGCTGCCACCCCTTAGTATTTCTACATCTGCGATATAACCAGCATGGTTTAAATTAATGAAAATCTTAACTATATGAAAATTAAAGAACGTATTAATTATTACCATTATGTATTTTATTTCCGTTACATTCCGAGTGGAACAAAGGGGTTTCAAGCTAGAGCTCTTAAGTTTCGGTCGCAGTAGTGTTTAGTTTTACGAGGTTGGGTTGCTAGCCTTATGTCCAACCTTCCCTCTTTTTACCGGCCTTATGACTAGCTTAGTCAGGTAGAAGAGTGTGTTGTGTTGGCCAGGGATTGAAAGTCGTATCACATGCGTGGTTGGGGATCATTCTATCACCGTATCACTAACGGAAGACATATTGATAATCAGTTATATTTTCATATTGGTGAATTAGTCCAGTATAGTAAATGGTAGAAATCTGTTATTTTCTGGACACAAAATATCGGCTGCATGTGATTAAGTCAGAGTTTTGGTTCACAGGGGTTCGACTAAGTTCCAAGTAGATCTGCCTGTTTTCAACATAGATCTTTGCACAGATGTGCAACAGTCCCAGTTGCTAAACTCCATATTACACACAATGCAAGAGGAGAAAGCAAAAAGAAATGCAAAATACAGACAATAAACAGAGATATTAAGCAAAAAGAATAGTAGCAACGAAGAACAATATATTTTCATTGGAAATCATAAGTCATAAGGAGTGGATGCATCTACGCCATCGCTAAGAACAACTTCGATCCATATCACCAGTTGTCTCTAGCCGTCACTAGTTCTTACCATCCAAAGGACCCCAACCATTTAGGAACCAAGTTTACAACTGGCTGGCTGGCTGGCTGGCTGGCTTGAAATAACTGCTGTGGATTTTATTGACTGATGAAGCCATGTTTTAGTTTGACCACTACTGGCTCTTTTTCAACCTGATTAGTCCTATGTCAGTTAGCTATCATTGCCTGTTGTCGAGGAAGGGATGTGTAAAACAGCACTTGTTATAACCATTTCAGTCGATCTAGCTTCACAGCCTCCCACTTATATTGCACTCGACTGACGCCTCACCCCAATATTGCTCACCCTATTATACCACTTCACACGTGAGAGAGAATGCATGCACCTATAATCAAAGATAGCTAGCCAGGCTTTTCATGCATTCCACTTTCAATAGCCAGACCTCACTCACAGCCATAAAGGAGGAGGACGGAGCGGATTACTGAGCAGTACAACCGCCTTTCGGTCGATAGCCAATTAGATCACAAACTGACAGCTGTTTGATCAATCACCCTGTTTGAAAGTGATTTGATATGTCCAGTACCCCTGAGTTTTCATCGCTTCTCTAAGTGTGATGTCAGTTCATGATCTCAATTCAAAAACAATAACTCATCTGACATGAGACGGCATGAAATTCAAAGTATTAGAAGAACTGATTTCACGCCAGGGTGGGTTGGAGGAATTCAGAAAAATTTCGACTAACTGTGCATATTACAATTCTGATTATATCATAAGTGGACAGTTCAAGTTGTTATGAAAATGCAAGTCACAGTATGCTCAAGATAAGGAGCCTCTACGTTCTTTGATCGTTAGCTCTCTAACTAATGTCGTTTGAAAAGCTAACATTATCTCAAAAAGGGGGTTCATCATATTCGATTATAAAGGTTGACTTAATTGTCAAGTGATATTTCAATAGAGCAACTGACCAACTCAGAATTCGCAATGTATGCACTAAAGCATAACCATACAGTTGACTGTAACAGTATTGTAGTTTTATAAAATAAAATATAATTTAATTCAGTTTTATTTTTTCCCGTTGATTGATTGGACCTAAGTGCTCGGTTTCAGATTGACATGTAGGCCTCTTGTGCAGATGCTTCGACGATGTCTGGGAATTTAATTGAAAGTTAATTGGTGTATGGTGAGTAGCAATGGAATCCAGGATGCACATTTCATCCTATTTGGGACTTGTCATCCAGATGTACTTGCACTCCACGGAGAGTGATGATGTCCCCAACGACGCTCGAACCCAGTGCCCATAGTTTCAAACGCTAAAGCGTTATCCCCTAGAGTCACGAGGGCCACCACTTGTGCAATGAAACCAAGTACTTCAGTCCAATCAATCGACGGAAAAATTTCAAAATTGAATTAAATAACTAATATGACCCGTTGCACAAGTGGTGGCTCCCGTGGTCCAAGTGGCCTAGTGGGTAACGCTTTGGCGATTGAAACTATGGGTCCTGGTTTCGAGTCTCAGTGAGTACATCATCACTCACTGCGGAGTGCAGGTACATCCAACTTACAAGTCTCAAATGGGAAGAAATGTGCATCATGGATTGCACTGCTAGTCAGTCACCATCCACCAATTAAATTAAATATGGTTAGGTATAGGAACAGATCAATCACTAAATCTTTCTTCATCAAATCTACACCTAACACCGACATCAGGCACACACTTGGGGCAACGACGAACGAAATCACGCAAAATGCAGGCCGTCAGTCGAGGGGAACCCGATTGGGAAATGGTGAGTTAGGCGTGAGTCCGATTGTGACATTGAGCAGATCGTGTGAAGAGATGAGAGACTTTTGACAGTTATGCAGCCAGCTGAAAGGAGGGTCGCAGAAAATAGGACAAAGTGGAGATGTACTGTTGAAGCTTTATATTCCACTCGGAAACCAAAGGAACAATATTCATATTATTAATAACACCAGTATCAGAGATATTGAAAATATGGCTACCAACAAAATCAAAAGGATAAGAAATAATGGAATCATATAAAAGAAGCTGAGAAGTTACGTGAGTGCCTTGTTATGATTATTAGCAATACATTGTGCTCGAAGTGTTATCGACAAACAAATGATAATATATTTTCTAATGGAGTCAAAGTTCATCTATAACAGTCCTCAAATTCTATTCTTATTGCAGCAAAAATTACTCGAGGAATCAAGGAGCTCTCCCCCTAACTGTTACCTTCGCAATATGAAACTGTCTGTCATCGTTCACAATTCAAGTACCTTAGGTTTCATCGTGCCATCTAGTTTTCAGCGTCCTATAAACGATAATATAGGATGACTACTTTCTAATACCTTTTGTGAACAACTTTCCTCATCCAAGATCCGGGTAGCGACAACAGTACTTAGAAAGCTTGAAGGGGCTCATTTTAAAGACAGATTTCACTTTAGAACAAGACATATAAGCGAACAGTGCTGTTGTTTTCAATTAGATCTTCTTCAGGCTTTACTCTAATTTACATAGACTAATATATATATAAAATGTTAACCAATGACGGTGATTTAGTGGATCAAATAATAATAGTAATCATAATAATAATAGTAATAATAATGTGGTAAATGTTTTGAACGAAGTTAATAACGATGATTATAATAATAACAAAATATTGTTAATAAGGCTTATATAGGTGATAAGAATAACAAAGTTAGTATATGCATATATGTAGACAATTCAATAAATAAATAAATTAGGTCAAATCAAATGGAACGATAATCAGAGTTTAAATAAATATCATAAAAGTACTAAGGAGAGGGATGATAAGAAAGGGTGGGAGGGTTTTGAATAGAATTCACCTAGGCCAAGGGAGAGACAAAGATTTCACTTTGTCCAGTCTAGATTCAACATTTCAAACCGTTTTCTTATTGAATTCTCATCCGTTTCTCACTTTTAATTTCTGTTTTAGATGGTGCTAAACATTTTATTGTCAGTCCAGTTATTATATCAAGTTCAGATACACTGGATTATGATAATATTGAAGAAAATTTCTATATTGGCGGTTTTTCATGGGATTTAATCTTCAGATGGCACCATGCATACAATGCTAGTCAACCACAGCCATCCATAGATCCATATCGTTTAATTCGTCCAAGAGAAACACCAGCTTTAGCTGGTGGAATCTATGCTGTATGGAGAGACGACTTTTTCCATTATGGTGGTTATGATGAAGAGATGAATATATGGGGTGGTGAAAATATTGAATTATCCTTACGTACATGGATGTGTCATGGACAAATTGAAGTAGTGCCATGCAGTCGTGTTGGACATCTTTTCCGCGATAAACATCCATATACATTCCCAATGGGTAAAGAATTCACCATTTTACGTAATCATAAACGTACTGTTCTTGTTTGGTTCCTACATGATACAAATTCAACACTTGCTCAAGATTATTTGGCATATTTTTATACAGCATCACCAGAGGCGAGGGTAATACCAGCTGGAGATTTAAAGTCACGTAAACAAATAGCGAATTCATTGAAATGTCATGATTTTACATGGTATTTGAAGAATATCTATCCTTTACTGAAACAGGAGGCTGAAAATATTAAAATTACTGACGACGTTTATTATTTAACTGCTTTTGAAGATCTGTAAATACTTTTGTAATCGCATGAAAAGATGAGGAGTAGTTACTCTCGTACGGATAACCTCCTACGTATTCGTGCTTTCTTTATCTAGAAGAGTACAGCATGTTTGAAACTTTGTCAGAGTTATTTTTTATTGATTTTATTAATTTATTTGAACTTCCTTGTTGTTAGATTTTGTATTAAGATGATTTTTTCGATTTATTTGTGTTCTTTTTCCGAGCTGTTTATCGATTTAGTTGCGAAGCTATCGTCATCCTTCTAGACACAACATCTTCAGTGCAGGTTTTAGCTGCGCAGTTAAATCAATCAGCTCAAAGAACACAATTAATTCAAACCAAATCACCTGAGCTACAAATCTTCCTTATTATTTGATGATTTCCTTTTGTTTTTTTTTTAAACTTTTCAAAGAAGGCGCACTTATTTGTTTACTCTTTTTGTACAAATGTATAGATTGAAACAAATTTTCATAATGGAAAATAAAATGCATTTGTTTAAATGATTCCAATTATTTATGGCCTTTTTTCAAATATCAGTTGGACTCTTTTGGGTTTATATATTGAAACAGTGGACATTGAATCTACGTTTGGCTACTATATGACAGTTGTGAATGCAATTAAATTTAGGAGTCTTGCGTAGTAATCGGTGTGATACAGTGAATCATACTGGTGTGAGAAGTGCAGTGCTAGATAGGAAGGGTAAGTCAGTTAGAGAGATTTTGCAGCTACTACTGTTGCCTGGCATCATAATATTGTCTTTAATTTAGACGAAGGTACCAAATATGTTTGGCAGGTCTTCCTGAATTACACATCTACCTAGGTCTCTTTTGTTAAACAAACTTGCTGCGTCACATGCAGATTGCTGGATTACCAAGTGGCTAAATTCCCATTTTCCTGATAGGAAACAGTACACTGTCTACAATGGAAAGTCCTTCACTGCTACAATTAATCTAGCTGGTATTCCTCAAGAAAGTGTTCTTTCTTCTTCTGAGACTTGCTCTGTTCTAATGAAGCCTATTTTTTTTAAGTATTCTGATGATCTGACGGTTTCTGTGCCAGCAGTTACCTCTCAGTTAGACTGTTGCAAAATGAATAACTGTTTGTCAGAATTCGGTCACTGGTCCTTGTCAAATGGTCATAAGGTGAATCCCCCCAAATGTGTTAGACTGTTAATTTCACTTCCAGAAACAAGCGTGAATTACATGAGTTAGACATAATTCCACTGTCGTATATGTCACAGAGGTTGAAACTAAAATGAGTGCTAAATACCTTGGACTTGGTATTTCCTCTCATCTTTCCTGGTCTTCCCACATCGTGTTAGTTTCCAGAAAGATATTTCGTTTAATATTCTACGTCAGGAAATCAGGACAATCTGGTATCAGTCAATCTCTACTATCTTAGTTTGTTAATTCTTGAATTCTGTCTATTCTTCTTTACCGCTTGCCCTTTATCTTTCCCTCACTCCTTAAGAAAGACTTTGCTGTGTTATGAAGGACACTAAGCCATCAGTTTGGGCAGTAGGACGTCTCTGAACCAACTCGTTCATGCTGTTGTAGACAGACAAATGGCGGGTCACAAAGAATATTTCCAACAGCCTGTTGCAAACCTTTATCAACCAGCAACTGTCTTCGCTGGATCTATACTGAAGATCAGATAGATGGCCGGGCCGGAAAGAATCACCAACAAGAAACTATGGGAAGAAACAAACAAAACAAGAACAAGCCAATTGCATAACAAATATGCAGGAGAAAGTGGAGATGGATTGGACACTCGTGGCTGAGGAGACCGCTGGGTGACATCGCGCGTCAGGCCATTGCTTGAGTGGAGCCAGGCCGAAAGGGAAGCGGCGAGTGGAACGTCAGTGCAATGGTGACATGGAGATCGTGTGGAGAGGAGTTGAAACAGTATGGACTAATATGGATGGAGGTGAAAAGTACAGGAGAAGACAGAAGCAAATGGAGACGTGCAGTTGAAGCCTTATATTCCACTAGGAACCCAAGGGAACAATAATAATAATAGACAAATGGAAGAAATAAGCAAATATTGTCTCTTTGGTCCCTGAACATCCTATCTGTACACAACTCTCTCCTTGTTGCATCTCATCAGGCAGGTGGAACTAGAAGCAACTATAGAAGACTACATACTTGGATGCTTAAGTATAAAAACTCTACACTACCTTATTTGGCAGGCAAATATTTTATGTGATGACAAAATCGTGTAAGGGAAATTTTCACATAACAAGATTATCAATGTAAATGCTCTCCATTCGTATGAGCTGTCCTTAAGATTCGACTTCACACTTACATATATTAGCCTACTTTTGTTAAACACTTTAAACAGAGTGTACTTTTCGTCAGAATTTTATTGGAGACGCAACCTGCTGTATACAAAGTGGAGAAGGGGAGTAGATGTGGGCTAGGACCATCATCTAGTTCGAGGAACCTTCAAGGTGAAGTTGAAATCCATTAAAACAAATGTAATTCCAGTTCAACATTCAGAAACTAAAGAACAAAACTACAAGCGATGCCTTCGCTACAGATCAGACCAGAGCCAAGTCGGGCATACTACGTGGCATCACTGAGGAAACCTGTGTGGAAGAACATTGGAACTCTTTGAAGGTTGCTGTTGTTCAAGGAAACGTGTATAAATGTTCTAGGAAGAAGGAAGAGACAAGATAGGGAATGGCTGTCAACGGATACCTGGAAGCTAATCGAGGAGAGGTGTATGGGGAAAGTGAAGATGACTCAATGTAAAGATGGACAAGAGAAGGCAGGAGAAGCTGAATTAAGTGTACACTGCATTGAATAAAGAAGTGAAGAAGAGTGTTAAGGAAGACAAAGACAATTTTACGACACACTGACTGACGGCAACTGAAGCAGATCAGGCAAGCTACAGGTTACAGAGACCTAAGGATATTATATCAGAAAATTAGGTCTCTATTTAGGAAGAGATCAACTCAGATGAATAAACCAATAAAAGACGCTCAAGGAACCTGATGACAAAGGAGGAGAAACAAATAAAACAATGGGCTGATCGTTTCAAGGGACTCTTGAATCGACCACCACCTGCCCAACTCGCCCAGAAATAACACCACCACCAAGAGCACAGAACTGCCTGCCAGTGAACACCAATTCTTCAAAAGAGCTGGAATTCTGAATGCGATCAAGCTACTCAAGTCCTGTCGGGAAGCCAGCAGAACTAGATGGCATTTCCCTCAAAGCACTGAAAATGGACCCAGAGATTACAGCAGATGTCCTCACGCCATTACTGCAGAAGGTTTGCAAGGGAGGAAAGGTACTTACCGATTAGAAGGCTGCCTTGTCAGGCTACAAAAGAAGAGGGACTTAGGCCCCTCTCTGCAAGAACTGACGTGGAATAATACTCTTGTCCACAACAAGTAAAATACTAAGTCTCATCATCCAGGAGAGAATAAAGGATGCACGGGATACAGAAATCCACCAAACACCGGAACAAGGTGGCTGGATTTAGGGAAGGCAAATCATGTGCTGATCAAATTGTAACTCTACTCATCGTCATCGAACAAAGTATAAAATGGCTGTCAGACTCCTCCCCACCTCAACTTCATTGACTTCGAAAAGACCTTCGTCAGACACTGTAGGCCAAGAATTAATTTGGAAATTACTTCAACACTACGGCGTACCTCAAGTGTTTATGAACCTCAATGTACAGCTGGCTATATGACAATGGTATGTGTGTGATGATCCACAACGTGAAACTCAGCAATGCGCCTGAAGCGCATACAGGACTAGGAAAAGCTGGCTGCCTGCCTATTATCACCGATGATATTCTTAATTGTGGTGGGCTGGATTATGCGTCAGACTGTTAGGGAGTGAGGAGACGGGAGTAAAATGGACGACCGTTAAGAAGACTCTGGAAGGTTTGGATTTCGCATGTGGATGATATATGTCTAATGTAACACAAACTGGAAGAAATGAAGGCGAAACCAACAAAGTGGCAGGTGAACATAGAGAAGATGGGGGTGGTGAAGATAACCAACGGACCACAACAACAACAACTACAACCAGCACTAGTCACCATCAACGGGAGAGAGTTAACAGAGGTCTCTTCCTTCACTTATCTAGGAATCATTGTTTCAACTACAGACAGTCGGAAAGGATGAAAATGTCAAAGCTAGCCAGCCAGAATTGGAAAGGCAAGATACGCCTTCATCGACCTGAAACCAGTTTGAAAATCTTCTGCACTAACTCAGCATAATGAACAAGATTCACATTTTCAACACCAATGTAAAGTCGTTTCTTCTCTCCGGGTCAGAAACGTGCACTGCGTGTCAGTCACGAAAAGGATTTCTAACAGATTGCAGAATTTCGTCAACAGGTGCCTTTACCATATACACGCTGAAGATCAAATGGCCAGAGAGAATAAGCAACAAGAAACTATGGTAGCGAACCAACCAATCAGCCTATCGCTCAACAAATATGTAAGAGAAAATGGAGATATATCAGGCATACGTCGAGGAGACTGTCAAATGGCAAAAATATTTATTAATTATTTGATGTTATCTTTATCTCCACAATGAAGTCAATGTTGTGGATGTTGTCTATGAGGAAGGATAAGGAAAGCCTTGCGATTTAACTTTACTTGTCAAAACACATAAACAATGGCTTTATATGTGTTCAAAACTCATACTACAACACATGGGTTCGAACCTGAGTCACACATTTCTGGCAATTTAGACTGTTTAGTCTCGAACTATTAGTTTTTGATGTGGTTTTGTTCTCTGAGCTGGATGGTTAGTTTGCGAAGCTTTCATCACCCTACTGGGTGACATCTTCAGCGCATACTTCAATCACTTGAAGTGAGCTTTTAGATTTCTCCACGAGTTTATTAATCATCTCTCCTGGTCGGTGACCACCTTGGACGTGATTGGTTGTTTATGTGTGTTTTCACACCCTCTAGGTAGCTACTTGTATTGGAACTGACTGTTTCTTTGACTTGAAATTTGACCCTTTGTGTGTGAAGTTTCTTTCTTATTGGTTGAGAAATTTTGTCTATCTCGATGTGTCTATTGGTTGATGATTCACTGGAATGCCAGGCTGGTTTCTAAAAATTCTCTAGCATTCTTGTTATTTCCTTTGTCTAATATTTGAACGTTGTCCCAGTCGAATTGATGTCCGTGGTTATCTGTGTGTAGTGATATGAACGAGGGAGTGGATATCATGTCTTTTGACGGCTAGCTTATGTTCGTGGATACGAAGACGACGTCTTCAACGACATCAAATTCACAAGAGAAGAGGAATCCGAGAACAAAATACCATTTTTGGACGTCTTAGTCAAGAGAACAACCACAGGGGAGTTAGAAACACAAGTTTATAGGAAATCAACTCACACAGACCAAATACTGAATTACAACAGCAACAGCCCAATAACACACAAAAGGAAATGCATACAAACACTATTCAAGAGAGCAAGGATCCACCTTAAAGAAAATTGAAGAAAAATATCTCATGGACGCCAGTCTTCCAAAAGAATG